AGGAGATTTCCAGTTATGAAGCTCTTTGATGATATTAGAGACTTCTTCTGTAGTGAAGGGTTCATAGACAGTTGTGCGGTAGTGTTGACATCTGTGCTTCGTATCTTCTATCCATCCAGCATTAGTGTTAAGAGCAGCTGGTGTGGAAAGTTGATTTCCCCAAAAACTCCTGAATTTCTTCTTGGCTTGGATATGATTTATTGGCACTTTCGACAGTGGAATTAAGTTTCCGATAGAACGCGCCTTCTCGTCATGCTCAAAAAGCGCATTATCATATTTCCGGCTGTTACTAACCTTGTATCTCCTTTGTCTTCCTGAATAAACGGAGAGTTTTTGTTTTAATGTATCCAGCCACTGATGGGCTGTGATGTTTTCTGGATCATATTGCGAGTGTCTTGCAGTGCTTAGCATTATTTGATCAGCTCTTTTAATGACTTTTCTACTTGTTGTTCCTCGTATATATTCTGTCATTTGACCAATGTCTCTACGCAATAATTCAAACTTGTTTAGAAGTCGTTTCTCTCAGGCTGAAATATCTGTCCTTCCGGCATTGTTCTGATCTTAATTCCCATTACATTAGCTGTTGCTGTTGCTGCACAGTAAATAAGCATGTGCTGTTATTATTATTATTACATAGTAATAAGGGCTGGGGTCATGAAGACCCAAAGGCCCATTTACGTGAAAAATGAAATAGTACATTTAGTCTAGGCGGGATCTGTTTTGGATTGGAAATTTTCGAGGGAAGCTATTTTTTTACTGGAATCCCTTCAGGATATGCCCAGTATCGATAATCACGATATGCGCCAGTCGCAAACCCTGTGCTAAATTTTTTATTTAACAAAATCTGAAAATAATTAAAAATTTCTCATTTTTTTGCTCCTATTTTCATTTATAATTCGAAAAATATTGATCTTAGAGAAAAAATTATAAGTAGTTCAAAGTTTCGTTATTAAATTTTACACAATATTTTGTTAGCTAGAAATTGAAAATTTAATGGTTATTGTTGAAAAAATAGCAATAATTGGAAAAAAAAGTACAAAAAAATGAAGTTAATCCTTTAAATGTTTTCGACTTTCTAAACTTGACTTACAAGTTCCATATTCCGCCTAGAAAAACTTTTTAATATATTTAAAACGTGTGCTAAATTTTGTTAAGATCGGTCGGATAGGTTTTGCATAATAATTTTGCAATCCAGCCTACTGGAAAAAAATCGCAAATTTTCAAATTCATAGTAGGCCCTATATAAGGCCTTCAGATAGTTGCAATTTTTTTTACATATAAAGGAAGTCTCACACTTCCAAACGCTTTTTGTAAAATTCAAATCGGTTTACTAGGAAAGCCTATCATTTTTTTTAAATTATAAACATTTTTTAGGCTTATAAACAAATTAAATAACTTTACGAGCTTTAAACATATCAATTTCAAAATGTATACACTTAAAGAACATTAAAAGACGCTTCTTTTAAGAAACAAAAAGATACATTCGGCTTACTGGTTGCCGAGATATTGAAGGTCAAAGTTGGCATACATTTGCCGTGTAACCATAAGTGATAGAGGGCTCGTTTTTAAACAAATACCCTCGTCTTGCCAAATACTTTTTATATGAAAAGTTTTACGTAATGCGCTTCATGGCAACATCCATAAAAAAGACAAATAAAAAACCGTTTTCGCGTAAAATGTCGCTCGGAATCCATGAGAGGTGGTGGTGAGGGACATTCACTTCAAATGTGAATCAGCGAGTATCAAGTATATATTAGCCTCAGATAACAAGCCAGTTTTTATAATTGCAGAGGATATTGATGCAAAAAAATGAGAAATTTTCAATTGTTTTCAGATTTTGTTTAATAAAAATTTAGCACAGGGTTTGCGACTGGCGCATATCGTGATTATCGATACTGGGCATATCCTGAAGGGATTCCAGCAAAAAAATAGCTTCCCTCGAAAATTTCCATTATGGTCTGAATTTCTACAGATGCCGCCTAGTCTAATTATAAAATAATTAGTTACGCAAATAAACTATGAACTAGAAAATTGTATACAGTATTGTTCAAAGTTGCTTCAAAAGTTGGTAATCCTACTAAGGTAGAAAGTCTTTGTGGGTAACCTGGCCTTCTTCGTTTGAAAGATAGTCTGGTGGATTTCTTTTGGACATTTTCGAGAAGAGTTCTATCGCGCACTAATTCTGGGCACCAAATTGTTCCACAGTACTCCAGTAGGGGTCGGACATAAGTTTTATACAAACGAATAGAACCCGAAAAGGCTATTTTTGTAAAAGTCTTACTAAGTAGGTATAATTTACTATTCGCTTTTTTAGTGATGTTTGAAATATGCTCCCAACAACACAAATTTTCAGTAATTGTAACACCAAGGTCACAATATGATCCCACAGTATCCAGTAAATGCCCGTCTATCGAATTAGACAAACGCGGGTTATTTTTTCCCAAATGTAAAACTACACACTTATCTCTATTTAGAGGTAACATCCAATCCAAACACCACTTGAAGACCGAATCTAAGTCACTTTGTAAGTCTTGTTCATTCAAAAGTGGGTCAGTAAATATTTTTGTATCGTCTGCGTAGAAAGCTTTCCTAGATATATGAGAATTACGATCACTAGCATACAGCACAAATAGTAGTGGACCCAAAACAGATCCTTGTGGCACAACTCTGACACAAAACTCCCGATTTTAAAAAAAATCATTAATCCACTCAAGAAGTTGTCCGCAAATGCCAAAGTGTTCTAGTTTATACATCAATTTTCTTCTTGGTACCCAATGAAATGCTTTTGCAAAGTCTAAGTACATATACTACTATTGGTCTGATGGTCGTTTTGTAGATTTTCATTTTTGTATTTTGGCTTATCTTGTTATCTCTAAAATTTTTATTTCTATAGAACGCTGTATTTCCTGCTTGAATTCTTCTTTTCATATCTATACTTTCATTTCTTCTGTTGACTAGTACTCCCAAATATTTGAATGTTTCAACCCAGTTCTTTTATCTGTGTCTTCTTTGTTTTGCTTCATCATCATCATCATCACACAGCCAAATTTGTCCACTGTCGAACATAGGCCTCCTCAAGATGTCTCCACTCTTCTCTGTCCTGTGCAGCTGCGATCCAGTTTGTCACTATTCTTTTAATGTCGTCCGTCCATCTGGTAGGTGGTCTTCCACGATTTCGCTTGTCTGCCCTTGGCCGCCATTCTAAAATCTTCTTTGTCCATCTGTTGTCTCTCTGTCTTGCGACGTGTCCTGACCATTTCCACTTCAACTTCGTAATCCGTTTTATGACGTCTTCCACTCCAGTTCTTCGCCGTATCTCATCATTTCGTATTCGGTCTCTCAAAGTTACGCCAAGCATAGAACTTGTAACTTTTTTATTGATGCTTTAGTCAATGTCAGTGTTTCAGCTCCATAAGTGAGCACCGGAAGTACGCACTGGTTAAATGCTTTTCTCTTTAGCTTTATTGGGATGTTTTCCTTAAACACGTCTTTTAGCTTGCCATAGGCTGTCCATCCTAAAGCTATTCTTCTAGATAATTCGCATGTTTGGTTGTCTCTACTTATTTGTATTTCGTGGCCCAGATATATGTATTTGTCAACCGTTTCAATATGCCAGTTTTCTAGTTTCAATGGTCCACTAGGTACTAAGTTGGTCATCATTTTAGTTTTCGCAAAGTTTATTTCGAGCCCTACTTTTTGGGAGACTCGTTGTAAATCTTGTAGCATTTCGTTGGCCTCCTTTAGGTCTTCGGTTATTAGAACTATGTCATCTGCAAATCGTAGGTGGTTCAGCCTTTCGTCATCGACACTCAAACCTCTGTTTTCCCATTCTAACATCTGGAATGCATGCTGCATTACGGCATTGAATAGTTTTGGTGACATGTTGTCTCCTTGTCTAACTCCCCTTTTTAGTTTTATTTTTTGAGTAGGGGTGTGGAGGTTTATTGCTGTTGTGGCATTTGCATATATATGTTGAATAATGCTGGTATATCGGTAGTCGATTCTACAATCTCTCAAAGCTCTTAAGATAGCATCTCGGTAGTGTCAAAGGCTTTTTTATAGTCAACAAATACTAGAACTAGTGGCCGGTTGTACTCTATAGTTTTTTCAATTACGGCCTTTAGACAAGTTAGATGGTCATTTGTACCATACCCAGGGCGGAAACCTGCCTGTTGTCTTGGTTGGCATGTTTCTAGTTTGTTCTCAATTCTGGCAGTGATAATTCGAGCAAATAATTTATACAGGTGACTTAGAAGACTGATTGGCCTATAGTTTTCGAGGTCTGTTTGATCTCCTTTCTTATGCATGAGGAGCGTTATAGAATTATTCCATTCAGCTGGTATTGCTTGGTTTTCTAAGCATATATTGAAGAGCTGCTTGATTGTCCTGATGAGAGCAGAGCCTCCGATTTTTAGCGCATCCGCCACTACTCCATCTTCTCCTGGTGCTTTGTTTTTTTTTTTCATTTTCTTTAGAGCATGGTAAATTTCAGCCGTTGATATGTCGGGAATATCTTCTGAACCTTGATTCATAATTTTTTGTTCTGTATGTTCTGTCGGGTTTAAGTCCAATTTATTTGTGTATAGTGTTTTATAGAAGTCTTCTACTATCTCTAGCATTTCGTCTCTGTTGGACGTTAGTTTGTCATTCTTTCCTTAAGTCTGATGATTTCTTTTCTGCTGTTCGTCAATTTCCTTCTTAATATCTTCATGCTCTTGTTGTGCTTTGTTTTGCTTACGTTCATGTATTTTGTTTTATTTTCATTTATTTCCAGTCCTCTCAGTTTGGCTTCGTTTTCTATTTCTTGGAAGGTTTTCTTTACTGCTCTTTTGTCTGTTGTTACTATGGTTATTTCGTCCACATGTCATGTTATTTGTACTGTATATAATTAAAAGAATTAAAGAAAAGAATATTCCCAATGTATAATGATACATTGTATTCATTACCATGGGCTTCTTCTACATCTAAAATCTGGAAGTAACGTCTGTCTTTCTTTGCAGTTGATATGATCCAGGCTGAATCTAATAGCATGGGCTCTCCGATATCGGACTTCACGGACGATAACTTCGAAGAAGAACTAGCGGAAGCCTGCGAGGAAAACTTGGACAGTCTAATGTTTTGTTCGACTTCTTATCCGGAAGTTGGAGATACGGCTCCCGAAAAGTTTTCCGAAATTTCGAGATACGGGATCGTCGACGTCAAGGGAGACGATGCGGACGGAAGAAAAATTATTGTCGTTTACGCTTGTAAGTTGCCTCAAATTAAGGAGATTGATCATGGATTGTTGTTAAGGTAGGTTATAGAATATATTGTTACAATTTTTTGTAACAATAAACATATATACAAATAAAATCACAAACTTTTGTTTCGTAAAAAAACTGTTACGAATGCTCAATATTTTTTTTTCAATTATTAAAATTCTCATGTATTTAAAATATCAATTAAATTGGAATGGACAGTCTACTAAAGAAATTTACTTGCCTGCAAAATAACCTTGTTTGTTAGATATAATAAATAACATAAGGGAAACCATTCACTATTTTGAAGATTGGAAGAAATACAGTATGATTTCATTGTTTTTTTAAGCCCTTCTCTCTATTCGGATTGTCAAATATAGGCCTCTCCCACAGCCACCTTTACTTCCAAGCCATGAAGTAAAAAAGGCAACACCGCATTCTATGACGTCGGTAGTCCGATAATCAGCTGTAAGGTCTACCAGAAAATTAAATTAATTTGAATTTTAGGAAACTGATATTTTGAAAACTTCAATTCATTACAGAAATATTTTTAGGGAAATTAAATTAATAAAACCCTATATCTACCTAATAAATATATATAAAGTTTTATTAAGATTATATTATCAATAAAATAATCAAAAGAGTAGAATTTATTGCACTTAAAATACAGTGTCAAACAGTTAATCTTACAATCAAATGCAGTCAAGAATCTCTAGAAATTTTAAATATTAAGTACTTAAGCATATAAATAACACAATACATTAACACGACATTTAAAAAGATTATTAAAAATACAAAAGATATAAAATTTGTTAAGTAAAAACTTAGTGTAACTATTAGGATTAAAAAATTCATCCTAAAAAGAAATCAGACACAATATAAATATGGTTCTAAATTAATCTAATTCAAAATTAAATATTTTACTATTTACTGATAACTTTTGTTGAATTTTCATTTATAGGTATACGAAAGTAGCAATTTTAAGTATGAATAGGTTTTTTGTCATATACACTAAGTTAAAAGAGGTATACATGAAAAATGTGTTGAATGTAACATACCATTTATAACTTGTATATCGATTTAAAATAGCTTATATTCTCAAAAGATTTTTGAATGTAATACTCAAATTTGTTATAACTTATCTAAAAAGCAGATCTATATCGAGAAAGTAAGTTCTCTAATTGTGACCATCTTGTTAGTTTACTATATTGTAAAATCCATTTCAAATCATTACTACTTAATCTATTCTTACCTACATTGACGATTACACTAAAATTGCTGCTAACTATTACACTACTTATTACACAAATATTATCACACTCGTGTCCCAACTGATTAATGTTTAATACATAGAAATATACACAGTCACTTGTAATTTTACTTGTCCAGTTTTTCAATGGGATATTATTCTCTAAGTCTCTTAAAAATGATTCAAAGGAATCTATTAAATCATTGTCTAAGAATTCTCTTTTCTCTTGTTACTTCTTCTTATGCAAAAAGTTTCTTCTGTCTTCGGGATTCCTTCTTTCTTTAGTACGATGAACAGTTACATATTATGGTACTTCAGGAAACATATTAGGAACTGCATTGTCTTTTAATTTGGGAAATATTAACTTTTCAATGTGTACATTTCCATCTTTATCTTCTCATTGTTCAGTCCGCTGAATATCATCTTCATGAAAATGTTTGGCACATACTATGGAAGATTTGGTAATTGTATAGCCTTCTCTATGAATAGAGCATAACCCAGTATACCTTCTTTGGGGATCTTTGGGAAACTAAAACGTACTTTCTACCTGTTTCGTTTTTAAAGTACTGGCATAATTGGTTTTGCAACCAGGTACAATGCCAGGGCATCTGTAACAAAAAACAAAAGTATTATTATTGTTGATTTTAGTTTACATATTTTGTAACAAGAAGCAAAAGTATTATTATTTTCAGTTTGTTTTGTAGGTTATATTTATACTTGCCTTTTAAATTGTCGTTAAGAATCTTCTAAAAGTTCTAAACTTAATGTAATTTCACTTATATTAATATTTTCTAATTGATTTAAATACAATTTCCAAATAAAACATTCGAATATAGTTTAAAAAACACTAAATTCAACAAACTTTACAAGCCTTCCTATATATGAAATGTTAAACAAAAGAAACCACGGTCAGACTACCACGAGTTGTTGCCAAATTTCTACTTCATGGCTTGGAAGTAAAGGTGGCTGTGCCTCTCCTAATTCTCACCAATCATCTCTGTTGTTTTTAAGACGTTCCCACATTGGTCCTGCAGTTATTTTAATATCGACGCTCCAGCGACTTTTGCGCGCCACCTTTCCTCGTGGTCTTTTGGCTTCAAATGGCCGCCAATTCCCGATTTCTTTATTCCACCGGTTCATTATGTCCAGCCCATTTCATTTTAGCATCTTTTACTTTTGTTCTATTACATTACGAATGTCTTCATTGGTTTTATGGTCTTTGAGTGAGATACCCAGCATCTGTCATTGTATAGCTCTCTGAGTTTTTCTGATCTTCTCCATGTTTATTTTATTTATTTTAGTGAATGTCCAGGTTTGAGCTCCATAAAGTACAGGTAGGATACAGGAATTAAACACTTTGGTTAGACGTATGAGAGTCTTCATGAAATGTGGAAAGGTTTCAGAAATACCATAGAAACCTCTGTAGAAATAACCAGAACCGAAAAAAAGATCATCAAAAGAAAACACTGGATGACAGACAGAGCGCTGCAACTTCTCGAAGAGCGAAGGAGAATCAAATCTCTCATATATCAAAACGACAGCAACAAAAACGAATTAGCAAGGTTAAATGGAGAAATTGAAAGAGCATGTAGGGATGTTAAAAATAAACATATAAATGAAGAATGCGAAGAACTAGAGAGACATGCAAACCGGTATGAATCCCATTAGCTATATAACAAAGTCCTATATCTATCCAGGGAATTTAAACCAATCATACATACAATAGTGGATCAAAACCAACATATTATAAATGACGAGAAAGGGATTGCGGAGGTATGGAGAAAATATTGTCAAAGTCTATATGCAGATAATCCCGATCCCCAGAATGAAAATCACGATGAGTTCGCTGCAGAGAGGGATTCTAAAGCCAGAGGTAGAAAAAGCAATTAAAAAATTGAAAAATAGAATAGAAGTTTTAAAGGAGACTGGAGATGTTGGAGTAAATGTTAAGCATATGATCTGCAAAAAGATTTGGGAAACCGGAGAGTGCCCCAACGACTGGACAATATCCACTTTCATCTCTATATTCAAAAAAGGAACTCCGCTAGATTGCAGCAACTACAAAACGGTAACCCTAGTATCCCATGCAAGCAAGGTTCTACTTCCTGTAATACATGAAAGACTAAAAGCTTTTCTATTGCCTCAGATATCAGAATAACAAGCTGGATTTGTCTCAGGAAAAGGCACAAGAGAATACATCCTTAATATCAGACAGCTAATCGAAAAATCTCGTAAATTCAATACTCCTATGCTTATGTGCTAAGTGGATTAGACAAAGGCCTTCGATAAAGTCAAATGGCAGCAGCTATGGTCCATACTAGCGGAAATGGGAACACCCCACCACTTAATTCAACTAATTAGAAGTCTATATGAAAATAATTATGAAATATAATATTATGAATAATGAAGTAAATTCAACTTTTCAACAACATTCAAAACAACAAATACGTTGAGATCTATTTTGTCCAAAACCAAACATAACAATGAACAAGAAAGGACAAAGAATTGCATTTATAAAATATCTTGTGAATGCGATCAGTTTATTTAGGTGAAACATCAAGGCCATTAAATGTTAGAATAAGTGAACATCAATCTTATATTAACAATAGAGAATTTGATAGATCTCAAATAAGTAAACACGTATGGGATAATGAACATAGGGTTCAATGGAATGATTCACATATAGCCCTAAAAGAAACGGATGGTAAAAAGAGAAAAATCAAAGAAGCGGCTCTAATTATGCTAAATGAGACCAATTGTGTCGCAAATTCTGCAGCAGAATGTAGTAGGATCTGGTTACCCATATTGAAAAAGGAAGTTATTAAAAGGAAAATACTAGTATTAGTAAGTCAGTAACATATAGAGGATACATCATTTATATTTTTAAATAACAAACATATACAATCAGAATTTGGTGTTTATTGAAGGTAAACTATATGCACGATCGAATACTTACCATGTTAGGATAGTATTATGAGTTTTTTCCTGGTTTTTTCCTCATAATTTACTATGGAATCACTAACAGGAGAATTTTTACTGTCATTATGGCATATGTTTGTCTTTTTAAAGACGAATTACATGCTATGATTTTTTTCTGATGGACATTCTCAAGTTAAAGTTGATTTCATGTAATCAAATGAACTATCTTATAAGTAAAGTCAATATTGGCAACAATATTGGCAATATCATTTTAAAGTCGTCTACTTTAAAATGTATAATGTATGTCTGAATTGTCAATATAAATGAGTCAAATAAAATTAAGTTATTAGAAGAATTTGTCACTAAGTAACAAAAAAACAAAATTTGTTTAATTCACTAATGTTTGTATTTTGAGAACGATTTCCGAAGTGGAAATTGAAACGTCAATAAACGTACTTTAATATTTAATTGCGGCTTATTCCCATTTAAATGGGAACCACACGTTGTATATCGAAATCAATTTATACTTTTGACCTACAAAAGCTATATTATTCGTAATCATATTTTTTTTTCTTTCAGTTATTTGAAGTATACCTTAGAAAGTTATGTAAAGCAAGACTACAGTTTAATTTATTTTCACCACGGACTGACGAGTAAAAACAAACCGTCGATAGGTTGGTTGGTCCAAGCTTACAAAGCCTTCGACAGAAATTATAAGAAGAATCTGAAAGCGTTATATCTAGTCCATCCAACGAGCTTTCTTAAATTCGTTTCGCAACTGTTTAGGCCCCTTATCAGTGCCAAGTTTGGAAAGAAATTGAACTATATTCACAGGCTGAAGGAGTTAAACGAATTTATACCGATAGAAAAATTGGATATACCCAATGAAGTGATAGAGTGAGTATACAAAGTTAATTATATTTAGGTGAACTTGGTAATTTTGTTTTGTTTTTAAAGACTGGGATTACACCATCCCCTTGACTAATCTTTTTTACAACTTTTAATAGAATATTTCACAGACTGCGAAATTGCGAATAGTACCTTAAAAGTCAATTTCCCGTCCACACATATTCCTAAGCATTAAGGGGCTTCCTGTTGCGGCAGTTGTGCTATTTATCTTTACAGAGGGAAGTGGAGAGGGAAGTTAGTTCTAAATCGTACACTTTAATTGAGTGCAACTATTAAATTAATAGTTTTCATATACAAGTTATATTAACTCGTCTCGTTTCTGTGCTGGTGTTGTGTACTTTTTTAAATGGTCAAAAATTGAGGATTTATCAAATATGATTTCCGTCATAGACAATAGTTAAAGATAAAGTGATTTTTAATTTTATACGTAAATATGTGATCATTGTTTAACTGAAATCTTAAATATGCCTCAAGGCGATGCTGAACACATTTTGTAAGAGTCTTATTTTTTTAATATCCTGTTAAATTTTTCTCCACTTAGCTATATCATAAGCTTTGAATTGAACCAAAGAACATATTTTTTTGAAAGTCATACTGATTTTTTTAGAATAACGTTTTGGAAATTTTGGGAAGTATAGATAAAAGTAATTCTTTCTCACTCAAGTGGTAGCTTAAACAGGTGCCATCTATTTTGACGGCCAGCCACGAACAAAAACTATTAATTAATATTATTTTTGTCCTTTACGCTATACAAAATGTGGATCGTAAGTAACAGCGAGTTTTTGCCAGAGTATATAAACTTCTATATCGTTGCTGTGACTTTCAACTTTGTATTCAAACATGCATTATTTTCTTGGGTATCTTTCGGTTCTTGAAGTTGCAATTAATCATTTGTAACGATATGTTTATCTTCTTCGGCAATCGAAAGTGGCTTCCCACGATCGGCGATTCTACAGATCATCGCGGACAGCCGATCAGTACGGACGACAACGCACCGCAGACAGAGCTCTTCCTACGGTCCGTGACAGTCTGTGTAGGTCCGTGATAGTATTGTTTGATTATATCATAAAAAGGCCACTCAGGCTTGTAAACATCATCAGCCCCACTTCCAGTTCCCATCCATTCTCCAACTTTTGTTTTTTGCCTTTTATATGTCGGCATTAAATTATTTCTCTTCTTTTTTAATTCTTTAATCGAAATAATACTATTCTTCAATTGATTTTTTATTCGGTTCCATATATCGTATATATCGGTTCCGTTTCTTGTGCTCTGGTGCCGTAGAATTCCATAAATTTGTTTCATTTTGATACAAATTTAAAAAATCAAAAATAACTTCGTTTGTCTAATCCATTTTTTAGCAAAAAACTGCAAAAAAACTTTGACAACACTACAGACAACTACTCGTGTCAGCGAATGAAAAACTTCTGACTTGCAGTTGTCTGTACAGACGTTGTCTGTACAGTTGTCTGTACACAGACGCGCTAGGATCGCGAGCACAAGCATATGCCGCACCTTTGATGTTACCGACTCTAAATGGATAGGACGCACCAGCACGGACGTGCCTGTGCTTCCACGGACGAGACCTTTCCTACGGTGCGTGGTGCGGGCTGGTCCGCTTACGTCTGCAATATCACCGACCGTGGGAAGCCGCTAGAAGAAGAAGCCCTGCTCCGCATTCATACTGTACGAGTTTTTTAAAGCCTAAGTTAAAGAGATGTTTTATTTTTCGATATATATCTTTGAACCACAGTATTGAAGGTGGCTGCTTTTTTGTACAGTTGCTTTACAGCTGCAATAGTTGTTTATTGAAAAGTTTTGCAAGTTACTGAGCTACATGTAGTACCTTTTTTTGTAAATGAACGTAATCCATACTTCTTTCTAGCTTTTTTTGGGATCATTTACCTGTTTATATTATAGCTTGTAAATAACTCATGTTATTTTTCAAGGATTTTAGTGCTTTTTCTATTATATCTGCTTTCACATTCATGTATTCCCCCTACATGTGAAAGCCTATAGGAGATAATATAGATTGTCTTTCTCTATTCTCTTGGAGTTCCTTTGAGCAGTGTTATTTTCACGTGTTTATGGGAATAAGTTGTATGTTGGTTTTGTTTTATGTATCTGTTCTTAAAACTCTCTTATTCACTTCAACATATCATTTCCAATAGCTAGGAGAGTTTCATTTGATAGATACGTTGCAACTCTTTGTCGGTTTTATCTCCATTGTTTATATTTATCATCTACAAACATATCCTGGCGTCATGTACGGTCTCTTAGATTCATTATTAGATCTTCCATAAAATCATTTGACGTATTTTATTATATTTTCTGCATTCAAGTCTGAATTGTATCTTAAAAATTGTTTTTTAAATTCAGTTATAAGCATTAAAAAAAATAACAAAGTTTGACGTAATGAATGTTTGAAATATACCTTTAACATAATAAACACATTGAATACAATATGTTTATTATATTTTTATATTTGAATACATCGAAAAGTAATGCCTACGTTCAAAGTACTTTAAAAGTATTATGGAATGGATAAGTGGTACTAAAATGACGATTTCGCCAGTGGCGTAGAATAAACAAATAAAAAACAAAAAGAGAAATCATACGATTTCTACCTGGCGAAATCGAATTCAAATATAAGCCACCGTGCTTCCTAAAACTTGCGAAGCAAACAGCTTGATGAATAAATCGGCAAGGGAATCTAAAATTGCACTCGAGAATTCGATTTCTGGTACTCCAAACGAAGTAAAGAAATAAAACACAATGACGGTATTAGATTTTGATTCGATATAGAAAATACACTTTCCGTGTCTCCTCCCTAAGGCTCTGTTGTTACCAAGAAAATCTTTTGAACTATAATTTGATATTATTGTGAGTCAGATACCACTGATTGCGATCCTGTACGTTAGAGAAATGAAAACTCTGTCCATTGTCAAAATATCTCTTGAACTCAAGAATTTTCGAAGTTCCCGATCCTTCTACCGCCGCTTAATCAGCTGTTTCAATCTTATTATATAAACCAGGACTAGAAGGCTCTGATTATTAGCATAGTTATTTGTATTTCGGCATATTCGTTTAAATATTGTGCTGCTTTGGATTGATTACGGCTGTCGCCGCTTCTCCGCCCCCAAATTCCATCATTTTCTGTCATATTCGGTTATCTCTTCTAAGTCTCTTGCCGCCATTGCTTCATCAATATAGTTACGCCAACTTCCCCGTGGTCATCCTCTCTTTCTTCTTTCAGGAGTGATCCATTCCAGTACTCTTCTAGGCCATCTGTACTCTGGCATTCTTTTAACATGTCCGAACCAGATTAATTGTTTTCTTTCTATGTCATCATTGATATTTTGCTCCATTTTCATTTCGTTTCTTATTTGTTCATTTCTAACTCTCTCCAGTTTTGATCTACTGCAGCTTCGTCTCAGATAATCCATTTCTGTCGTCATAAGTTTGTTTCTATTAGCTTTGGTGACATCCCATACTTCCGAACCGTAAAGTGTAATACTTTGGATTATACTACCGTAAATGTGTTTTTTGGTTTCTCGTCGAATTTTTTTTTGCCAGAGAAGTTTAAGGCACGGTTCGCTGCTCTGCCCTTGTTTATTCTTTCCCTGATTTCATCTGCGCTATTTCCCGTTTTGTTGAAAATGACCCCCAAATATTTGTAAGATTGCACGTTTTTGATTTTGTCGTCTTCCAAGACTAGGTCACATATTTCATCTGTTCCCACTTATTCTTCCTGCAGTTTTCTTACCATATAGCTAGGATCGTAGCTGTCTTCGACAATTACTACCTAGTCATTCTCAAAGAAAAGTGTATATAGCGTGGTTTCTTCCACCGTTATTCCCATGTTTCTATATTTTTTTACACATTTCACTAAGGATATGTCCAAATTGATTTTAAATAAGTTGGGTGACAGACAGCAGCCTTTTCTTAGTCCCTTTGTTGTTTGAAAAGAAGAGGTAATTGCTGGTGAGATCGAGGTGGTGTCCATTCGCTTATATTCTTTAGCTGCGAATCTTCACTTTCTCCCAATGCCCCTTCTTCTTTCAATATTTCCTTCCATTCCAAGTAGCCTGCTTCTCTTTGGCATTGTTTATATGATCCATCAACGATAGTAACAAGAAAATTGGAATATCTTGGAAATATTATACGTGAAGAGAAATACACCTTGCTCCAAATGATTATGCAGGGAAAAATCCAAGGAAAGAGAAGCATAGGGAGATGTGTAGAATGTCATAGCTGCGCAACCTGAGAGAGTGGTATGGATGTACATCAAATGAACTTTTCAGAGCAGCCGCCTCAAAAGTCCGAATAGCTATAATGATTGCCGACCTCCGCCGCGGAGATGGCACTTGAAGAAGAGGATATTCGAAAGTATTTCAATCTTTACAGCCATTGTGGCCAAGTTTTTTCCAGGGGTCTTCTACACTAGCGAACCGTTTGTTCAATAGTATGATTTCAGTGATTGCTTCGTTTCTTTTTTCTTCGACTTTCATATATACTTTAGATCTCTTTAAGTTGTTTATATCGATTTTCTTCAAGAATCTTCGTTTAGCTTTATTTAGTTTAATTTTTAATTTTTCCACCACAAGGTTGCGGTTTGACCCTCTAACGGTCCCAAGATAGGTTCTAACTCGATGTAATTTATTTGACTATTTTTGGTTGATCAATATTAAGTCAATTTGGTTTATTAGTGGTCATCCGAATGTTGTGGAAACTGCTAGCTGCATAGTTTTCTCGGTGGAGGATGCAACCATGTGTTTAAAATACCTAAGGTGAGGCACCACAAATGATATCGATAATTGTTAATACTTTAACAATTAAAAACATATTAATCATCAACACTACTTTCAACGTCACATAACTAGGAAAATAATGATTTTATCGCTTCAATGTAAGACGGAGTTAATTTCGTAAACAATGGTGAGTAATTATTATGATATAGACTATGTACTCACCAGAATTGGAATTTCGTCAGTGGCGTAAAATTTATAAGATGGAAATGGTTGTAGCTATAATACCAGAACATGTTGATTTATGTAAAAATGAAAACAAAACTGTTTTTATTATGATGTATTTTGAATGTTGGTTCCTTAAATTGGTTTTTGTTATGTACAAAAATGTGTCTTGAGCGGAAGAAAGTCATGTAGCTAATTGTTTATTTCTATAAAATACAAATCCAAATCACTAGTATTCCCTTAAAAGGGAGGTATGAGTTATTAAAAATTCTACAAAAAATTCCTAGGTACTAGTGGCGTACCAGAAATTTTTATCTACCTTCGCCTTACTCCTTTTGGTGTGTAATGCAGGCCATTCACGTTCCGACTTGTGGTACGACTAGTGGTCCAACTTCTGCAGTTGGATCTGAAATCGAAGCGTGAGTGGGCTAGTTGGATTAGTTGGACAACTAGTGGTACGAGTCGGAACATCTAGTGGGACGACTTGAAGATCCGACTTCCGACTGGCGACGAAGTCGGAGCGTGAATGGTGAAGTTGGAAGTCGGATTACAGGTTGGATCGAAAATTTCCTCAGTTAGTTGACCTTCGGCTCCTGTTGCGTATGAGATTTCTATAAAATATTTTACACAAAGATCTCTAGTTCGCGAATATTTAATAGAAAATAAACTTTCAACTGCACGAAAATTACCTTTTTGTTAGGGCAAATCATTTTCCTTTCTGTAGATCTATTTCGGACATTCACACACAGGTAAATTTCCGATACTCCGGATTGGCTACGGAAGAATTATCAACAAATAATGAAAATTAAATCATAGTTGTAGCAAAAGATCCCTAGTTCGCAAAAAAATAATAGAAAATAACTTTTAGTTGCACGAAAAATTATTTAGAATTATAATTTATTCGTCTTCCGGGTTTGGACCGTGTCATTTGTGAGTGACCCAAAAGTGGGTTCATCTCGACGTTTCGCTACAATTGTATGTAGCTTCTTCAGGAGAACAAAGAAAAAGAAAAAGAAAAAGAAAACAAAAGACAGGAAGATGGGTAGTTACCAACGGTAACTCAGTTACTCAACGCAACCAGAGGCGAATACTAACTACCAGGATGGGCATTTGGTCACAGTAACTAAACTACTCAACGCAGCCAGAGGTGAAAAGCAAATGCCAGGACAGGGATTCACGTCCAACAGCTCAGAACACTAACGCGTCGAGAGGCGGGGAGTGAATCCTAAAAATTATTAAAATTATTACTATTAAAAATATACGACACACACACAATAAATAAATCCCAGCTCCAGTTTAAAACAAATAAAATATAAAATAAATGACGGTTGCGTTTCGATTTAATTTGAGTCTCTTACCACTCCCTGACACGTGTTTCTGGGTCTACCCGTCATCAGAAGGAGTTTGTAAGAAGATTCAAACCAAATCAAAACGCACCGACTACTAAGGCAATTATAGTCGGTAAATAAAATATAGATTTTATACCTACATAAATCTTTAAAAACTATAATTTTTTCCTACATCTAAAAAAGTCATAAAAATCAAGAGTTGAAAAAATTAATTAGTTCAGCCCTAGACAAATAACTAGAGAAACGAAACCTAATTTTTAAACATACATATCATAACATACATATAAAGATAACAAGCACAATTCTGTCATTTTCCTCCTCCTAATTATATTTTGCGTAGTGTTTATTCGATACATATTTTGGTTAAGCGATGTACACCATCGGGAAAACAACCTAGAACTGAAGTTGGACCGCTAGTTGGATAGAAAGTCGGAGCGTGAGTGGAGACGAACATCCAACTAGTAGTCCTACTAATTGGAACCACAAGTCGGAACGTGAATGGCCTGTCTAAGCATTTTGCAAAATATTGTAGATACTACAAAATTCATTTACAGGATAATATATAATATTTAATTTAATTTTAGACACGATAAGAAACTTGGTGGGGAGGTTCCAGTATCGAGAACGTCCCCTGATTCTGTTTTTGAGCCGACGTGCCCTACCCAACAATTCGGAGTTACTCTGCAGTATATTAGGGATCAGTACAATGTAATCATTCCGCCTATTGTGAAACAATGTATAGAATACTTAGATCAGCCTGACGGTAAGCATTTTTTACTACAATTTAATTAATTTACGATTTATGGTTTTACATAAGTGTAATAAATAAAAACAAAAGCAAGCTAACAAATACGAAGCCTTGATTATTAAAATAGCCCGGTCGGCTATTTTTTTATAATTTTTTCAACAAAAAAATGCAAATAACTCGAAAAGGAAGCATTTTTCGAAAAATTATCAAGAGAGAAAAAGTGTTTATTTTGATGAGATACACCTAAAAAATTGATTTCAAAACAATTCGGTGATATTGCTTTTTTGTATAAGTTATTTGTTAATAACAATTGCCGGCTCACTTGTAAAAATTGTATTTTAAAAGTATGTATAAAGTGAAAAGATTAGAAGCAGTACAATTTCGTTTTGGTTTAAAACGTGCTTGTTCGATTTAAATAGATTTAAATACTATTATCGTTAATTTTCACCATTTAAACAGACTTAATAATTATTACAGTCAACAGAATTTATAATTTACTTCCAATGTTACATTATTTTATTAATTTCTAGCATTAGAAACGGAGGGTATATTTAGAAGGTCCGCCAACGCTAACAAAGTTAAAAGTCTGAAAGAAATCGCAAATACTGGCCAAAAGGTACCTTTCGATGATCCTCATGAAGCTGCTGTATTACTGAAAAAGTTTTTGAGGGAGCTTAAAGAACCTCTGTTGACTTATGAATTGTATGATGAAATTGTACAATTTCAAAGTAAGTATTTATATATTTTTTATAACATAAAAACACAGTTTATTTTGAACAGCAAAATAAATTTGTAATCGCTTTCTGAACGAATATACTAACCGTTGTTCTTTACATGAAGTTTATGATTTTATATAAGTTATTAGGATAGTAAGATTATATGATTTTTTTGTGTTTTAGGTTGGAATAATGATGAAAGGCTGAGGCTAGTATCCATACTTGTAATGGAAAAGCTACCAGAAGACAACTATAAGGTCTTAAAATATATCATTAGATTTTTATCCAGGGTAAGTGGAATAATTTTGTTTTAAAATATTCGAATTCAAAGCCAATGCTCTTATTGGGTATTTGTAGGGTTGAAACAACAGTTGGTTTCTAGCAAGACAATAACTTGTATATAAAGTTTTTCGTCAATATAGTCGCCTACTGATTCGAAAATTTGTAAAACAATTGTACACATTTTTTCGGTAACACATCTAATATGGCGGGTTAGACCCCGTTAAAGTATGCAATCTGAGCTAGTACTCTCTAGGAGTCAGATCTGTAAAATACAGTGGAATGTCCCTAAGCAATTTGTAGTTGTTTTTTGGCTTTTATAACTGCAAACGTATTAGTAACATTATACGAAGTGTGTTAAAAAAATCAGTTTTTATTCTACTCGTAAAAATTTATTTTCATCAATATCTATTTTGTTTCCTTCGAAGTAGACCCCTCAGATATAATAAGCTTGTGCAAGCGCTTTTTTCAATCCTGGAATCACTTCTGATATGCACTTCTTGGCGTGGTCTTGAACTTTTCTAGATAGGCGGTTTTTGTGTCTAACCTCTACCCATTCATTTTTGAGAAAAGGAAAAAGTTGCAGGGGGCTAAATCTGTTAAATAGGGGGGGCTGAGACATAATTACAGTATAATTAACATATTTGATTTTTGTGAACATCTTGTACTATTTACACACGGAAACCAAAACCCTTCCACCTGATGTTCGCATCATGATTACTTTACCCACCATTTTACTCACTGCTGTAAACAGGTTAATTTCTTAGATTGTTGGTTAAATTCTATACAGGGTGGTGAATCGCCAAACGGGCCATAGGAAGCTCAATGGTAAATTCTAAATTGTTGAATTCCTGCTTCCCTAATTATTTTCACTAAAATTCAAGTCAAGAAAAACTATTTGTAGAGGACTGAAATATATATCGAAAACAAATGTTAAAATTGTTCTACGAATTAAACGTATTCCAAAAGTTTGCAAGAATATAACACATTTTTCAGGCCACCCCTTAAAGTCAGACCACACGCGGTGCACGAATGTGTGACGGTTGCGTTTGGCCATATTGATGTTTCTGATATTTGACAATATTTGAATTGCCAAAATTTTTATCTTGTGATTTATTGTTTAAAAAATAATAAAGTTGATTAAAAAATGTATTTAGTTATGGAGAAAGTAGCAATAATAAAAATGTTTTATTTAGGCAATAGTGCGTGAATCGTCAGTTCTTTATTTAGCGTAAGATATCCCAATAGACCAAGTCATTCAACAATTCAACGGATTTTACAAAATTTTGAAAATACTGGGACCGTGATTTCTAATTGTACCTGTACAAACAATATTTCTGTGGTACCAACCGTTCATATAAATTTAAATATCATCAAGAACTAAGAGAAGGAGATGCTGAACGACGAGCGGAATTTTGTTATGAAATTTTGAAAGGAGAGGGCTAATACAGACAGACAATTTTTAAAAAACATATTGTTTAGTGATGGATATACATTTACATTAAATAATGAACCAAATGTTCAAAGTTATAGAATTTGGTCGACAAGAAAGCCTGAGGATATTATTGAAAGCTATACCCAATATCGTCCAAAAATAAATTTCTGGTTAGGAATATTTAGACACAATATTATTGGACCATTTTTCTATGACGAAAGTTTAAATTCAAAAAAATTTTTAGACTTGCTACAAGTAGAAATTTTACACAGACTTTCAGAAATAGCTCCGGAAGAAGAAGAAATTTGGTTTTAAATGGGCGAATGCTCAATAACTGGGAAGTTAAGGAATTCCTTAAAAAACAGCATTAATAATTGTTTGATTGGACCTGACTGTAATATTAAGTGAAGTACTATTTATTGTTCACTAGTAGTAGTAGTAGTAACTGGATATAGAAGCTGGAAAGATAGGCCTTAATATGAAGTACATCAAGACAAAAATCATAACAAATACAGATGAAGACAACACAATGAGCATCAGACAAGATGAAATCAACAAACAAAATCATACAAAAGCAAATATGGACAAAGTCATAAAAATCCAATGAGCAATGGAAAGGCAAATGTTGCACATAAGACAAATTTGTCCACTGTCGAACATAGGCCTCCTCAAGATGTCTCCACTCTTCTCTGTCCTGTGCAGCTGCGATCCAGTTTGTCACTATTCTTTTAATGTCGTCCGTCCATCTGGTAGGTGGTCTTCCACGATTTCGCTTGTCTGCCCTTGGCCGCCATTCTAAAATCTTCTTTGTCCATCTGTTGTCTCTCTGTCTTGCGACGTGTCCTGACCATTTTCACTTCAATTTCGTAATCCGTTTTATGACGTCTTCCACTCCAGTTCTTCGCCGTATCTCATCATTTCGTATTCGGTCTCTCAAAGTTACGCCAAGCATAGATCTTTCCATTTTTCGTTGTGCTACTTGTAACTTTTTTATTGATGCTTTAGTCAATGTCAGTGTTTCAGCTCCATAAGTGAGCACCGGAAGTACGCACTGGTTAAATGCTTTTCTCTTTAGCTTTATTGGGATGTTTTCCTTTAACACGTCTTTTAGCTTGCCATAGGCTGCCCATCCTAAAGCTATTCTTCTAGATAATTCGCATGTTTGGTTGTCTCTACTTATTTGTATTTCGTGGCCCAGATAAATGTATTTGTCAACCGTTTCAATATGCCAGTTTTCTAGTTTCAATGGTCCACTAGGTACTAAGTTGGTCATCATTTTAGTTTTCGCAAAGTTTATTTCCAGCCCTACTTTTTGGGAGACTCGTTGTAAATCTTGTAGCATTTCGTTGGCCTCCTTTAGGTCGTCGGTTATTAGAACTATGTCATCTGCAAATCGTAGGTGGTTCAGCCTTTCGCCATCGACACTCAAACCTCTGTTTTCCCATTCTAACATCTGGAATGCATGCTGATTTCAGAAACGAGTGGATAAGAGAGAAAACAAAAGTGAGGGATGTTAGATAAGAAGTTGCAAAATTGAAGTGGACATTTGCTGGACACAATATAAGACAAAAAGAAGACCAATGGAACAAAATTCTTATAAGTTGGAGACCGCGGGAATATAAACGAAGCAGAGGAAGGCCCCAAATGAGATGGGCAGATAATATTAAGAAGCACGTGGGCTCTAAGTGGATGACTGAAGCGACAGACAGAGAAGAATGGAAAAGCATTGGGGAGGCATATATCCAAAGATGGACCGAACAAGGCCAATTAGATAGATAGATAGTAGTAGTAGTATTTGTAAAAATTTGCTGTTTATAATTTAATCGTAAAATAAAAATCTTGACAATTCAAATATTGTCAAGTATCAGAATCATCAATATGACCAAATGCAACATGTCATACACATTCTTGTACCTCTTGTGGCCGACTTTATGAGGTGGCCTGAAAAATGTATTATGTTTAGTCCTCTACAAATAGTTTCTTATGACTTTTGATGTAAAATAAATAAAGGAGAATTTTCCATTGAGTTTCCTATGGCCCGTTTGGCGATTCACCAGCGGTAGAACCATTTAAAAGTTGAAGGAATAGAAATTTTTTTTTCTGAAGCACATTGCAAATTAAAATTTTAATTAATACTAATATATTTTCCTGGGTTTTAGGTAATGGAAAGGTCTGACTTAAACAAAATGAATGCACAAAACCTAGCTGTAGTCTTTGGACCAAACCTAGTGTGGTCCGATTCAGTTTCGATGTCACTAGCTGCCATAGGTCCCATTAACATGTTTACGCAGTTCTTATTAGTGCATCAGAACGAGATATTTATGATTTAGAGTAAACGTTTATCAATGTAATTTTTGTACTTGCGACCCTGTGTGAAAATATTTGCGAGATAATAGTAAGGGAGAGGAAGGCAATGGATAATTGTAAACATTTTATGTTTTTGTATATAGGAATTAGACTGCTTGAAAAGCAAGGTACTGACTGTAACACTTTAACTGTGGTATACATATTAAAATCGTATTCTGAAGGTAAATAAGTGATGATTGTACAGAATTTTTTGTTTATGTTGCAGCCGAGTTTTTAAAATATATATTCCTTATTCTATTTATATACTTTCCAGCAACAATATTTTTTTAGTACAAATAAACTGTAAAATTTGTTTTGTGTTTTGACATTTTTTTCATAGAATATGAAATCAATCATTCCACATTACAATGGTGATCGATTCGATCAAGAGCGTGAATAGTACAATTTTTTGCGTTTAAAATGAGGAACGTATCAATCTAATTTTATTATCAGACAAATTATCAAGAGTTCTAGATGGATCGGGACAGTAAAATTTTCTATAACTATTTGCTGCCACTTTTACCTAATAAAACATTCAATTTTCTGAATTTTTGCAATATGTCCAACTATTCATTCAATTTGTGAGTTGATGCCAATTATCTGTTAATACTTTGACTGCCATGATAAACATGCCGGATGCACGGCCAATTAGATTCTGTTGCCGCAAGAATCAGCTTTTGATTCTCGCTTCTATATTATTTATATGGGATAGAAATATGTCCGGCTGAAAGGACCCTCTTTTTTTTTCAATATGGCGTCAGTCTAAGTGTTAATTTAGAGGACTATTTTCTATACAACAACTGAAGATAAAAATTTTCATTCAGGTCGAAATAGATCTGATTAACCCTTTCACAGACAAAACAATGATGAACGTGGAATACTTTTCATTGTCGCCAAATAAGACAATCAGAGCTGGCACTGTTTAAATATTTATTACAGATAAACAGAAGTATTTACTTATGTATTTGGTTAGCACATGGTGTCGTCCTAAATAAACTTTGCATTAAGTGTGACTATGCAAGATAAAGCATTTAAATTCGAACCAAATAGATAAAGCTCATATATTTATTGTTTATAAACTACTAGTAAACATATATAGGGTGTGTCCTAGTACGACCGTTAAATATTTTCTGAACCCCTTATTGTAGTAAAGAGGCTGCAAGAGAAGGCCTCAAAATCTGTGATTTGGTGTATGCGGCCATAAGAATTAGAATATGCGCCTCCACCAATGTTTAGGTTTATTCTGGTTATTTTTGGCTCTTTTGTAGTGGGTGTGGAACGGCTAGTTGGATCGTGACGTGTGCGTTGGATGTTTTATGTAAAGCATATGTCAAGCAGTGGACGTTAAATGACTTAACAGAGCTGCGTTATTCATGCTTATGACGCTTTTAAAAATAATATCACATAAGCCCCATCCCTAATAATGTTGCTTAGCCCCAACGCTAATAATTATGCTTAAACCCATTCCTAATGATTTTGTTTAACTCCTACTGAAAAGAAGCTGACATATCACATAAGTCGACGAAAAGAAGAATACGAAACGCCACGTGATTAAATGAAGGCGAAACACTGCGAGACGAAAAGAAAAAGACTTGACAGACGAACGTTCATGGCTTTACTTTCTGTTTAAAAGGTTTTTGTCCGGGATGTTTAGGTGATATAAGCTTAAGGTCTTTATGACATGCCGTATGTTTGATTTTTCTTTGCCATTGTATTCTATTCGCTAAATCTTGTCATATGATACCTCACACGTCACGATTAGTCTGATAGCAAATATATGTGTCTAAAGCCTCTTTGGTATACCGCCATGTTTATTTTTTCTTTGTCGTTGTATTCTATTTGTTAAATCCTGTCGCATGTCATCTCGTACCTATCTAAGTTAATGGTTTAGGTGATATAAGTTTAAGATCTTTATGGCATACTACCATGTTTTATTTTTCTTTGTTATTGTATTCTATTCTGAAGCTAGTTTCTTGTGGCATTTTAAAGTAATTACTATTTAAATGGGAATAAACCATAATTAAAGGTTAAACTACGTTTATTGACGTTTCAATTTCTACTTCGGAAATCGTTCTCAAAATTTACAATTTACTAATGTTTGTATTTTGAGAACGATTTCCGAAGTGGAAATTGAAACGTCAATAAACGTATTTTAACCTTTAATTGTGGCTTATTCCCATTTATATAGTAATTATTGTTATATGATACCTCCTACGTCACGATTGACCCGATAGTAGCAAAGATACCTGTCTAAAGCCCCTTTAGCATGTGCCGTGTTTAATTTTTATTTGTCATATTCTATTCGCTAAATCTTGTTATATGTTACCTCGCAAGTTACGATTGGTTCAATAGTAGCAAAGATAAGCCTCTAAAGCCCCTTTGGCATGCCGCCATGTATAATTTTTCTTTGTCATCGTATTCTATTCGTTAAAACTTCCTATATGAGTTATGACACCTCATACGTCACGATCCAACTAGCTATACTACACTCACTACAAAAAGAGCTAAAAATGATCAGAATGAACCTTAAATTTTGAAGCTGTTCTCTTGCTTTATCTTTGAAATCAATCTGAGGTCGAATCTCAGAAAGCAAAAAAGTTTATTATGGTAAGACGCCATAATCTAATACAGGTATTTGTCGGTGATGAAATAATGCTAATGCCAGTTCTGACAGTCTGGTCCTAAATTTTAGATGTTGAATCACAGAACCTACGTGTTCGTGAAAGGATTAAATACAAAATACTGTATCAAAATGAAGAGTGCTATTTTTGAGCAGTGAATTATAGTCAATCGGTGTAGATAGTTTATTGTTTAATATTCCTTAAACAGTGCTGGTATTATTTAAAATATTTGTAACATATTTTTGAGTGACAACGAACTTAGTTTATCTGAAACAGGAACATAAGCACAATGATAAGTTCAGAAATGATAATCAGTACCTGTAGCAAAATGAACTTTTTGTAATGTCCTTACAGTGTATCTTTATTTTAACAAAATATGTCTTAGTATGAATCTTTATTATTTTTGTAAATCCTAATATGTGATAACATTTTATAAAGTTAAAAATTATAGTATTCAAATTAAAAACTATTTATTAAAAAAATATGTGTTGTTAAACAAACTTGCATTTTGATTTATCCTTGAGAGAGATTATTTACGGACATGGGATTAATTTATTGCTATCAAATTTCGTTCGTAACGAACGAATGTAATGATGTTTCAAAACCTCGTGAAATACCTTCAAAACCTTCAAAAATACCATTTTAATTTTATAGGAAATTAGGCGACAGGGTGGGATTTGCTAATAATATCGAGTATTTCCAATAAACATGACATATTATGTTTCTCTAATCTTAAACCTTCCAGTTAGTCATCTCATTTTCATTTTATCTCACATTGAAAGATTCAATAAAAATTTACGCCTTTCTGTCTTCACTACCGATAAGAATTGCTGTGCAAAGTGCAAAATATTTACATTGCACTAATTTGCCTTATAAATAAACCTTTTAAGAACTGAAAAAAATCTAGAGGACAAATAAATAAATAACAAATCAATGTATGATAGAAAAATAAAAGGATTTTGGTTTTATATTCAGAAAAATATGTTTATACGAGACGAAAACCTCGAATTCCTTGGGAAAAATATTCTAATGCGATTTTTTGCATACTCACTTTCATAAAATACCGCAGAATAATGTTCAAGAGGTCGCTTATACAAAAAGTGGTCCTAATTTATTAAACAGTTTTATATAAATTAATTTTTAGTTTGTGATTAAGGTTAAACAATTAAAGTTTTTAAATTAAATAACCCCAAACTAAAGTATCAGAAACTGATACAAGAAGGTTTGGTAAATTCAAATATATTTGTGTGTTTTTGAGCTTTCAATCATTATTTTTCGTTTTTGTTTTCAGTTTTAAATTGTTTATAAGTTGAAAACGATCAACTTTAGAGAAAAATTACAATTAACTTTTTTTATTCAGAATGATCCAAAAAATTATAGAATATTAAAAACGATTATTCACAAAAAAAAATAAAATAAAAAAAATAAAGCTATTTCACTAACGCAAAAACTAGTTTGTCTCTGTCTCGCTACGATAACGCACTGAAGAGAACTGCATGTTTTTAACAGTGCTTGATATTATTGTTTCGTTCGCAGATCGACGTCACTAAATGATTACGTCAGGTCCACGACATTATGAATTATCCCTAATTATTTACATAATTTTACATTTCATAACCAACAGATTTTCACATAAATAGAAGGTTCAGAAACCAGTGTAAAAATATTACAAAAGTATTAGGTACCGTTCGCGGCATAAAAAACTGGTACAACTCTTATAACCGAAAATCGTGTTTTTCAAGCTGTGTAAGTTGATCTTGTCACAAATGTCATTCTTATTTTTAGGGCGACGTTGCCAGAATAACGAATATATTATATCAAACCGGCTAAAAGTAGGGCTTCAATCGTGTCTTATTATAATTTATGAAAATATTTCAATTAAAAAATAATGTTAGATAAAATATCTTGACATCACTTTAAATTATTATGTTTAATTTCAAATCGAGAGGTGTCATTCGTTTCTCGTAAAGTGTAGCACAAAACTGTATTGAGTTGTGACATACTAGAATAAATAAAACACACTGGGAAAATTAAATTTTTAATTTGAAATTAATACAAAATAAATAACTTTTACAGTGAACAAGTTTGGAATTTGAATATATGTATTACAATCCGAAACTGCTGAAATATATTTTGACATACCCTCATTATTAAAAAATTCTTCAAACATTTTGGACATTAACTCAACCATCTCTCTTGTTATTAAATTTATTAGATACTGTTTTTTGTTGTTAATCATAAAAATAATATCTAAACACTTTACACATTTTTGAACGATATTTGTTTTTTTATTTAGATTTAGGGCAATTTAGTTTACATTGGGAAAAAAAGTGTACCAGTTTTATATGACGGGAAGTGTACCTACTATTGTAACGGTAAAAATACAGCGTAAGATTGACTCCCATAATAATAATCGGTCTTTATGTATGTATCGAATAATATTCGAGATAACTTAGTTCAGTGATTCTCAAACTTTTTTAGTCGCGACACCCTTGTAGGGCTAAAAATATTTCGAGGCACACCAACCCTTGAAGCGATTTGGGAAACGACAACAAATGAAAAAAATTCAATTCTGAGGCTCATTTGGTTGGGAGGCTGGGATTGAAATGGTCATTGTCTTCTCCATTGGTGATGAGCACTTCCTTAAATCGTTCTTGAATAATATTTTTGCAACCACACGAATTATCTCTTC